CCTCACTATCTCACTAGCAGATAGCAGACACAAAAGCAGCCTGCAGGCACTGTGTTAATGATGTTTGCTGCTGATCTGCTACAAATTCACTTCGTAAAATCCATTGGAAAAAAAGGTGCCGGAACACTGTTCCGGTGCATTCTATGACAAAAAAAGCCCTGATGATACCCATCCTTACCTCTCCTTTCCGTCAACATCCAGGCAGCTGTTCTTGTTTTAAACGGGTGACTAGTGTCAGTAGTTGACTAAGGGAAGGCTAAGTGAGGCTTAATTTAGAAAAGACAGAGGTGCTTCTGGTTAGTCAAAAGGCAAGCCAGGAAATAGGGACTGAACCTGGATGGGGATTTGGTTGTACTCCTGGCCTCAGCCTTTAGCCTGGATGCCCGAGGTTTGGCAGTAGTGAGGAATGAGTTTATATAGCTGAGGCTGGTGCAGCAATTGTGCCCTATCGTGGGGATGTCTGAAGTGGCCACCCATGCCTGCCTTTAGACTCTCTCCGGTCTTTGGTAATATACCGTACATGAAGTTGCCTTTGACAACTGTTAAGGAAATGTAGTTCATCTAGAAAACAGGCCAAATAGTTAATTGGCACTAGTTACGGGAAGCACACGACTCTTTTCTAGCAAGAGCTCTGCTGGTATGATTTGGGCAGATTTCAAAAGTGCTGCCTGACAGCTTGTTTCCAGGCCACTTGAAAGACTGTCTTCTTGCATGTGAGCCTGCTCAGGTTTTAAGATTTTCAGGAGAGGCCCTTCTTTGAGACCCTCTCTTTTGGAGGTGTTTTTGGTGGTGACACAAAAGAGGGCCTTTTGGTGCTGCACCTAAGTGGTGGAGCTGCCTGCCAAGGAGGACTAGATTCACTCCTCCTCTGCTTTTCTTCTGCCAGCAGCCAAAAGTTTTGTTTTGTTTTTTAACTTCAAGCAGGCTTTGGTGTGAGAGTGAGGTTGGGTTGGAAGCTGTTGTTCTGATTGTTGTGTTTTAATAACAGTTTCTTCATTTTATTTTTGTTTTCGATTAGTTTTATTTGTGATTGTAAGTTACCTTGAGTGCAGTTTTTCATGGTATATAGGTAGGATACAAGAACAAATGTATAAAGATAAATAAATTGCCCCTTTAAAAAATCAACAGCTTTACTCTACCTTAAATGCAAATTCACCTCTTTACACAGACCTTTCTGGTTTTTTAGTTGATCTGTAATGCAACTAGAGCTTTTCCCCTAACTTTTTCTGTACACTGCCTTTATGGGAATCTTGGCTTAGTCTACACATGCAGCAGAATGAGGTGGTAGAATTGATGTACTAGTTAAGGATATAGATTGGTGGACAATATTTTTCATTGTTTCATAAAAGGTACGAAAAGGAGTCCCTGCAAATGTACAACAAATGTCAAAGGTTCCCAGCACCCAAAGGAGGAGACTAAAAGGCCAGAGCACACTCTGCTATGTGCTTGTTTTCTACATGCACAGAGGCTTTCTTTTTAATATGGAGGAGCATCCAAAATCTTGATTTCCCGTATGCACTTCGAAAGTATATAATCCATTCTACCTCCAGAGCAGTCTCCCACCTCATTCTGTTGCATTTCCATGCATTTCTGCCATTAAGCTTTCTGAAAGTAGGTTGTGAGACATTGCTCAGGTGCTCTGAAGGAATCCAACTGGCATTCAGTATTATGAGTGCTTAACTAGGATTTCTTGCTGCTATTTCAGTATAAACTCTATGGCTACTATCATTTGCATCTTTCCTGTCTGAGGCTTAATTTTGGTTCTCTTCTTTTTCACCTTGGTCACATCTGCATCAAGCCGCTGTTCAGTATTACTAAACTGAGATTCAGTTTCGGTTCACAACCTTTGTAAATACTGAAACCAACACTGTTTCTAATAAAGATATGTTACAGTATTAAAATATCTTAATACAGCAGAATATAAAGTACTAAAGAAGTCCCAGAGTAGTTGTAGAGTAGAAATAGGCAATGTGGGGGCTTCCAGATGTTTTGGCCTACAAACTTGCATCATCTCTCATTTTGCTGTTTAGGGCAGATTGTAGTTGGATGTCAAAACACCTGGTGGGCTACAGATGGTCCGCCTCTTTGGTAGAGTTTCCTGGCTTCTCCAGTTTAGGGAGCTGCAAAGAACAGAACTTTCACCTGAAGATGAAAGATTAGAGCTTGTTGACAGTACTAGTTATGGCAAGCCCATAGTTTTATTTGGTAGAATACAATTCAATATTTTTAAAAGGAACAAAGGGCAAATAAATAAAAGTCTAAAATAAATGGGGATGGGTATAAAATAAATGAAGAACTAATGTAATAATTTGGAAACAGTGGTAATAGTGTTTTAGAATAAGTTGCTTACACTTGAACTTGTTTTGGAAGTTGCTAAAAGTTATTTTTACCCTGTTTTCATTTGTAAACAAATCCTAGCCTTTACTTAGAGACAACCTTTTATTCCTGGCATTGTTTTAATGTCTTTGCAAGCTCCTTTTTGGATTTCTTCTACCTTCCCCTCCCCAACACACCTTAATTTTAAGTGTTATATAATATTATATATGCTATATTTATATCCAGACTTTTCCCTTTTTTGTTAAACCTATTCCAGAAGCTTTGTTGTTATTCCGTACATTGTCACTATCAGATTTGCAGGCATGTTTTCTGTGCTTCCATTTTGTAATTCAAATAGTTCTGTTCTGGTTTTCAAATAGTTCTGTTCTGTGTTGTTCTATCATCCTGACCATTATTATTACACCCAAATGGATGAGATTAAATGTCTTCAGAGCTTGCTGTGTATACTTAGGCCAACAGAATTCATTTCTTCTTTCTTTTAAGTATGCTTGTGTAAGCTGGATTTTTGTATGCAGTTGTGTCTCATTTTTACTTGTGGAGAGGGGTGCTTTGGGATTATGTGTTGTGGCGGATATGTGAAAGGATTGATTGTGGATGATCTCACAATTTAGTGGTTTCAAAAATTGTTTTCTATGTCACACTGAGGAGATGATGATGATGCCCAACCCCTGCATGCTCAGTTTTGCAGAAGCGCTCTCCATGTCTTCTTTTGCCATGGATCATTGCTGTTTGCATCTATCTATGATCTTAAATTCACTTGATTCTCTGTGAAACAGGAGTTGTTGCTGGAACATGAGAATGTGGGTGCACATTCTGTTTTTATATGGCTGCATGCATTCCTCCAGTTTGCACTCATGGTCTTAAAGTTTGTGTGTCTCAGTTTCATTTTTCTGTGTTATGGGCTGCATTAAGAAAACTGTTTTGCCTTGGGGTGACCTGCCACACTGACTAGTGAGATCACAAAAGTGAGCAGCAGGTGTTTTGTGGTTCTTCCCAAGAGGCTGTAGCTGTAGATGGAATTTCTCTGATGTGTCTGGACAGTTGGAGATCCCACTCCCAATGCCATGGTTTCTCAGGGCAGTTTGTTCATGAAAAATTAGCCACCCTGCAGAAACTCTGCTGGGTTTGGTCAACATGACAACTCTCCATGATTGGTTACACATAATAGCTTGTCATGTTATGGACACTGACCATTTTGACATGAATTTCAAAATTAATTTTAATTTAACTTCTTGTTTGCCATTTTTATTGTGAATTTTCACCAAAAGCACCAGAATTAATAATTGTTTACATGTAAATAACGATGTAGAGCACAAATTCATATGTTTCCATTATACTTAAGCTTCTTCAGTAAAAGGAGACCAAATATCTGTACATATGGACCACATGAGAGAGGCATCTGTGTGTCCCTGGCTCAGATGAAAGCATTTTTAGGCCTTCAGTCCATTGTGTTAGATGAAGTGAGCTTTTATCTTTCTAGTGTTGTACAAATAGTATGTAAGCTGTCAAAAACTCTGGAAAATCCATTTGTGTTGACCATGTTAATCTTTCCACTTCTTAGTGGTAGTCTTGCTGACTTAATTTTGGGTGCTTTGGTGGATAACCAACCAACATGACTCAGCAAGTAATAGTGAGCCAAATGTTTTCAAACTATTTTTGCATAAAAGGAAGCCTCTTCTCTCTCTCCCTCTCTCCCTTTCCTCTGAAATACCCTTAAATGATTATTAGTGCTATTTGCTGCACTATCCAACAGCTTCTTTTTGTTCCATATAAAATCGACTTCTTTCTGTTAGCTCTGACATTCCAAGTGATCACAGATCATATAGGTAGTGTGATAACAGTAGATAGCCACTCTGGTACGGGATTGCAACACTGTCAATAAGGGCAGGTGACATTGCCCTATTCTGAATAAGGCTGGGGAGGATCTTTAAGAGAGGTTCTTGTAATTTTCTGCTTTGTCATACTAGCATGTGTGTTTTGCAAGGGACAAGCATGTTTGTAAAAAGTGTCCTGTTTGGGTGCTGGCTCGCGCGCTCGCGCGCTTGCTCTCTCTCTCACAGAGAAAGAGAGAGCGCCAGCCAGCCAGCCATGGGTATTTCAGGGTGTTGTAATATGATTTCCACAGCTTCACTTGTAAAAGTTCTCAGACCTTAGCTGGGGTCCTGTCTTCTGTATTTCCATTCTGTAAATTTCCGTTCCATTTTGGAGGAAAGCTCCAGGAATGATAAAGCATTTGGAAGATAAATTGTTTTACAGAAGGCTGAAAGGACACAAGGACATAAAATTGCCACACTTCTGTTAGGAGTTTGACTACAAAACAACAACAACAGATGGAAGCAATATTCATAAAAAGTAGGAAGGCCTCCCATTGTTTGAAGAGTTTATCAAATAAACAAGCTAGATAATTATGAAATCTAGAATTTTTGCTAAAATAAAGTGCAAACATCTTTCTTGGATGTTTTAGTTACATGTCACAGAGCAGGACTTTGGGTTGTCTGACCTATTGGATTCCTTCTGGCACTTTGATTCCATCATTTATTGATTGGACATTCTTCTCTCCTTTTTCTGCTGAGGTACTAAAAGGGGGCAAGAATTGGTTGCTCTTAGTTTGGGACAACATGTGTTCAGTTGCTTGTACAAAATGCTTCTTTCCCTCTTTCCAGGAGGCGACGGTCAGAATGGCAGTGGGCAGCAGACAGAGCAGCCATTGTCAGTCGCTGGAACTGGCTTCAAGCGCATGTCTCTGATCTAGAGTACCGAATCCGGCAGCAAACAGATATTTACAAGCAGATTCGAGCCAACAAGGTAAGAAAAAATGGGGTTAATGAGCAGGTTCCTACCAGCAAATACCTTTCTACATGGTTTATTTTGCATCACATGTATAAAAGGCAAAATAATTTGGTTTCATGTTGGGATAGCATTTTATGATTTCATTATTGCTATTTTCAGTATCACCCAGGTATCTCATATGGATGTTGCTAGAGCCAATAAATACAGACAAAAGTTATAGAGGCAGTCCTCTTGCTTATGTGATCAATTTTTTTCTAGGCCACCAAATCTATTTTGATAAATTATAATGTTTAACATATCTCACCCATTCATATAATATTCAAGACTATCTTGGGTACCTACAGGCCAGTTCACAAAACCCCAAAGTGTTTGCATGTGGTGCACCCCGGTCATCCTGAGCCAACTGATGTAGTTTACAAAAAAGGGGTAGCAATCCTAATTCAGCATACAAACATGGTTGAATATGTGAATTCAAATCCAGACCTGTCTGGCCCTAGGTGGACAAAACTGAGAGCTTTGCTTTCTCTGACACTAAAATTTGTATAAAACTCTAGATATTTCCAGCCTGCTTATCAACAAACTTGTGAATTTTCTTAAGTTCTTATTAAAAAAACAAACAAACCCATCCCTGTTCTATGCTTGTATATTTGCATATGAATAGAGCCTATCCATGTATTCGTCCACCATTCTTTTTTCTTATGGTTGACCTATTAAGTAGGTAGGGAGTCTGCTCATGTAAACTGTGTGCTTCGGATGCTTAGTTTGACAGCAAAGTTCTTCACATAGCCCCAGTGCTTACTCTCACATGCTGCTGCGTGTGAACACTGAGCTAGAATAAACAGTTCTTTATTGTTTATGAACTTAATGTACAACTATACACAATGTATATAGCTTTGCTTAATTCTGTTAACAAGATTCATTCTCCTGCTTGTCAGAGTTTCTTCCTTTGCTTTCTAGAATCTATTTTCACTCACTTGTATGATTTACTCGTACTTTTCAGTTTCTCACATTTCTTAATCCACTCAAGTTCCTACTTGTATTAACACTAGATGCCCCAGTTTGGTTTCCTACTGCACACTTCTAACACTGTTCCATGAGGATCCTTTTCAAATGGCCAATACTTCTGGAGACTTGAGTTTGAAAATAAATTCTTCATATCCCAGTAGGACTTAACTTGGGACCCAACCAATAGAACCTAAGCATGAGATTAGGTTACAAGTGTTGTAAGATATGTGAATCTTGGTAGAGAAAAAGAGGCTCCAAATACAAGGTTTACTTGTATGTTTACTTCTAAAACATCAGGAAATTGAGATCGATTGTGAGTTAGCCCTATTGGCAACCACACTATTAAAGTCTAAACCAGAGTTTGTATTTGTTCTGTCTTCACCACCACTAGATTTGGATCGGGAAATTGGTTTAGTGTAACACTTTTTATCTGCTAGTTTTACTGTATTCTTTATACTGCTTGCTTCTCAGCAATTGCAGATATAGTCCCAAAGAATACGCATACTGAAAATTGGTGATCCCCTAATTGCTTCTTGCTGGCTTGAAATAGTAAGGATATTACCATAAACTGTTCTTGAATGCCACTGCTGTTCAGTACAGAACAGGGAATGACACAGTCATCTGTCAGTAGATGCAAGCTATCCATAGCAATCTGTAAGTAATAACACAGTGCAACAGCTAAAGAGAAGAACAGATATGAGAGAGGTGATACCAAAGATGGAAGAAGAGCATATTAACTGGTACTAGTGTTAAATCAGTAAATTTAGGATAATGAGGAAAGGCTGTGAGACGAGTATTCAAGGAAGAACTTGATAAATGAGATGGGGACAAACACAGGAATACTAGGGTGCCACAGAAGTATAGGTAGTCCAAACGTACATTTTTGTATCCATTGAAAAATGAGAAAATTGTGTCCAGCCAAGCAGACCCGGACAAAGGTATTTTAAACTAATTTCGTCATTATGTTAAAGCAGATCAGTTAGGCTGACATGGTATGAAAGAAAGAGTATTGTAGAAATCAATCAGAAAAGATACAGGCAGTTTTAGAAAACAGACTATTAGGGAAATGTGGCCACATGATGTGAAGTTGATTCCAAATTGAATACCTCTCATCCCTTCCAAACCAAAAAGAGCTGATTCCACCTTCAGTCACCTGTTATCTGTGATATTTCTCAGTCGGTCTTTCCTCTTAATCTGATGCTGTATAATTGGACTAACAATTGGTCTGCCCCCACCCATCTCAGAATTTCCCCCCAAATTGAAACTGTCTGGTTTTCAGTGACTGCCTGGCTCATCTCATTGGCCTTGGTATTTCAGCTGTGAATTCCAACCCCAGCCCTTCTACTTCTGAATTAGAATCCCAATCAAAAACTTCAATGGCTACATTATAGGAAGAGTGGACCCAATCCCTAACATTGGCAAATGTGAAGGCTCCATGGCCACAGTTAAACCAAGCTTGGAGAAAAAACTCCAAGCAGGAGCAGAAAAGTCTAGCACTGGTACCTAGAAGTTATAAAACCCTCTAAAACTTTGATTTATTGTTCCCCTAGCCTCAGACTTTGGTAGGAGTTCTGTGTGTACTAGTGGGTGAAGATTTTCCAGCTAAATCTAATCTAGGAGAAGGACTACCTTTGCTTCTAATCCTGTAATCGATTTGTCTTGCTTGCACACCTAGGGTAAAACTCTGTGCAACTTGGATGGGGAATATCCTTGAACAGGTTTTTTTGCTGCTTCTAGGACCTCTGCCCCATGAATAGTTGTTTACAGCAAATTACAGCTGTTCTCATGCTTGCCACTGCAGTCATGTAGTTGTTTTATGTGTGTAATTCTAATTATCCATATGAACAGCACAAAATAGGAATATGGGTGGCCCAGGTACAGAGAGCATATGAAGTTGCCCTGAAACTAAGTTTGATGAGTGAGTGATCTATCCTAGTATTGTTTCCTTTGACTGGTAGCAGCTGTCTAGGTTCCCAGCAGAGGTTTCTCATGCAGCTTGGGTCCTCTCAACCATAGAGGCTCTGGAGTGAACTCTAGGATCTTGTACTTCACAGCATATGCAGAGTCCTTGAGCTGTGAGTCTTCCAATAGTTCCCAACTCTCTATTCTTCCCTGAACCTGCTTGGAGGTTGTGCACTTGGGACAAGTCTTGTTTTCAACCTTGAGGAAACGATGAGTTAAGTATGTGCTGCAAATGTCCTTGGGCTTTTATTTAAATTACTCCTCTAATTAAAAATAGCAGTAAGCATAACTATGACAGAGCAAGGACACATTTAATATAAATGCTTCCAAAACCAACATTGTTTTTACCTGACACCGAAAAGTTAGGATAGTAGGCATCAGCTGGATCTGCCTAGGAGGGATATTCTGCACCATCAAGAAGACCCCATCACTGTTTGCAGGAGTATCGGCACTGTAAGCTGCCTAGAGAACCTTCAGGTTAAGGGGCAGCATAGAAATGAAAATAAATACATCTGGAGCATAGGCTCTTAAAAAAGACCAAGGAGGTCCAATATGGCAAGAGGTAGAACTGCAGGTGATTTGCTTCCAAGTCATAGAGGGTTTTTTTTAGTTTAAAACCAGTACTTTAACTATAAGGCTCTTTCATACGAATTAAAATAGTTCTGCTGGATGACATATTATGGTATCAGAAAAATATTTTTGGCTGCTCTTGCTGCCACAGCATAGACTCTGAAATGGACTCCACAGCCTATGTTGCATCAGGTTTTGTCAGTGTTTCTCAACTTGTGTGCTTTAGTCATCATCATTAGTTGCCAGTTGAGTTCTATTCAGCGGGAAAGGTGACTTAGATCAATCTTGTCAAATGCCCAAATCATTTTCACAGACCACCGATCAATTAGAGATTTGATGAGAACACCAGCAATGTTTATAGTTCATCCCTGAATGAAGGTAGCCTTAGCATGGATGTTGAAGCCCTTCAGCACCATCTGCCTGGGGTTGCTCCACACCAAAACTGAGAGCATCTCTTTCAGCTCAAGAAGGGAACTGCTGAGCAGCTGGGTAGTTTGTGCATAACAAGAAGCCCCAATCTTAATGTAACAATATATGCTTTTGAAAATGCTTTTGAAAGCATGCACCATGCACCTAGCACTTTTCATACAGGCAGTCCCCAAACTACAAATGTCTGAGTTATGAGCAAATCGTGCTTGCAAATAAACTGCCATAAAGCTTATTAGTTAAAAAAAAATACTGTGGAAAACCATCATCACCAGAGGGAGAGAGGGAGGTCTCCAGAGCATGCCTTCCTGTCCTGCCCATCCTCAGAAAGAAATTCCTGCAGCAAGAGGGGGTGAATTTGGGTGGGGGTGGGGGGCTAGAGATATTCATTTTTTTACTACTTCTCACAGGGGTCCTGCACCCCCAAACCCTGTGAATGTGGAAGGGCAACTATACAAGATCCAACTTATATACAAATTCACTTTAAAGGCGAGTTCCCATTTTCTCAGGAATGGAACTTCTTTGTAACTCAGGGACTGCCTATATACGTACATATATATCCTCTGGTGTTTATGAGATCATCTATTTGTACTGTAGTAGGTTGCTCTTCATTCCAGTTACAGAATTAGTGAGTCCAAAAGACACTGAGGCGGCTTTTTGAAATGCATGAATGCCCATTGTCATAGTCCAATCTTTGCATTCAGTTCAATTTGACAGTTGTCTGGGCAGCTACTGATGGAGCAGTTGTCTCTAACCCAGTCTAACAAAAATAACTGGATTTCTCTTGCAAGGATGAATGAGAAAATAAATGTAAAGATTTGTTCTTTATAAGAAATTCGTGAAGCTAGCAAGTGTGTTTTAAAAGCTGAGTTCTGTGGAGCAGCTCTCTTCCCCCTCTCATAAAGAGAGCAGTGGTTTTGAAAACGGATGTCTTCATACTGATGCCCATGAACACATGACCAGGTCAGCTCATTGGTTCAGTATCGCCTGCTTGCTAAGATTTGTGAGCATAATTTTATTCTTAACACTGCTGAGATTAAATGGAGATTGAA